CTAGCATTTTGGTTGCTCTCGCCTTCAGAGCCTTAGTGATTCGAGTTCGACTGTACACCGTCCATTCTTGCTATATGGGTCTTCGTAATCGAAGCCAGGGGGTAGTGCATGGCTCAAATCATTACGGCTCTGAAAAAGACGAAGGCGCCGAAGTGCTATAGTGAAATAAGCTTTGCTTTAAGAACCTGGTGTCTGCTCAGTATAGAGTAAAACAGTGCATTAGTGTTATACTTTGGTGTGAAATCTTCTATTTGAAGTGATTTGATTGACGGATGATGTCACAGATATGATAGCCTCTTTGCAGTGAGTGAGTATGGGCCACTTTCCACATAGATTACCGTTGTGACTGCAAGCCTCTGGTTGGGTTGATTTCGAGGTTAGCGCCAGCGTAATTGCAGTTATCCTTGAAGGAATACAAGTGTGTGACTAAATTTACACCGAAAATAGAAGTCGTTTCAGGGTAGCGAGAAACGACATAGTACATCCTGCAGTGAAACCCATTCTACGTTTTTATAAATGTACAGTTAAAACTTAGAATTTTTTGCTAACAGATTTGTTTTTGGAGCTCTGCAAGTTTCTTTGTGTTATATATAGTGGCTATAGTGGCAAAGGGAAAGCAACACGATCCCTATATCGATAGAAGTTCGCATTCAGTAAAAATGGGGTATTGATTTCGTTTTAACTTTTATTTACTGCCTGTTAGATTAGGCAAAGTTGAAATATTGTGATTTCGAATGCATCTTAAGCTAAACTGAGTTCTACGCCGATCTGTGCACGCCAGTTCTTTCTCGCTGACCGGTGATTGGTTGTAGCACCGTTAGGGTAAAAAACTGGTTCAGAGAAACCCAAAGCTTTGATTGGCCCAGTGGACAACACGTGAGCCCTGGAAAGGGTTCTCGCAGGTTCGACTATGTCTACCGAATTATGGTACCATGGTTTCTCTCCACCGTTCTATTTTATTTTCATTCCACAAATGCTCTCTCATAAAATACAGCGAAACAAAGAGAGTTTTCCCCGAATCCACCTCATTTTTCATTCTAGTGAGTTCATTTTTTTAAGGAAAGGAATCCTGAAGAAAATAATGAATCACTTTAGTCATCCTATACTTAGTCCTGCATCACTGAACTCCCCACTGATCTCTAATGCGTCACTAGATCTATCAAGTAAGATATTCTCGCCAGGAAGATAGAATAGTAATACACTTAGAAATGACTGCTCTCTGTTTTTAGTGTTTTGGCCGAGAATGTACCAAAAGGCATGTAGTGTGTTTCAGCATTAAGGGCTAGGTATTATCTAGTGTTGAATAGCATGTTATGCTTCCCTTGATTAGACATTAGGCTTGTTGGAGATGACATGAAACTAACTCTTATGTTCATCTAGGTCCATAGGTCCATCCAGGTCGTGAGAAGGTAGTATTTCTATAGGTTAGCTGTTCATATTGTCGAAGCAAAGAATAACCAACCATATTGTCTTGAACAAGAACTTTTCTTACTAGTCCTAAAGTACGCCGGCAACAATTTCCCACGAGTGTTTGAGTTTCCCGTCAACACTCACCTTTGTAAAAAGGCCGTTGGATTCCTATCTTCAATAGAGTGGTCAACTAAGGTAACCTTAGTAAACTGAATAGTTTTTTACTGTAGTTAAATGCATCTAAACAAAGTTATTCTGTACCATTGACCACTAAGCTTCTTCATGTTGGCTTGTAGTGATTCTACCTAATATTCTCTCGTATTTTAACAATATTTCAGTTACCCAACAGAGAATTTGGCACCGATAACGTCAGTCCATGAACAGTGGATATTTACCCCTCTTGAAGTGATTATTCAACAGATGTCATTAAAAAGGGCGCCATCACCGTCACATGAGAAATCCGAATCTCCTATATCATTCTTCGTTGAGGTTTGTCTCGTACTATGCTGTTTTTCAATAACATTACTCTTGCGTCTTCTATAACTCATATTCTGATCAATTTTCTCTTCGTCCTTTGCTCAAAGAACTTCTCATTAGCAGGTGTTTTTTAAATATTTTTAAAAACCCTGAAATTTTGGTGGTTTCACCTTCTCAACGAGCCGTCACTTTCGTCCATGTAATCAAATGGTAAAGGGTACACGTTGACTGCGTTAAGCATTGATTTAATTCCTTAGTGATGAGTTGTGAGTACGATTCCATGCAACAGTGCAGAGGTGACTTGCCCTATACAACTTACAGAGACACATCGATCTATCAAGTCAGTGTTTTTAATCTCCAAGATGAGTGTGGTACAAGTTTGCATATTCCGGAGAGACAGGGAGTGTTGGGTGCCGGGTCGAACGGATGTTCACTTATGTATTACAGGGAGTAAATAACTACTGCGCTACGCGCGCCTCTCGTACTACGTGAGAGCATAGGGGACGGCTGAGAGAGTTTTTTTTCCAAAAGAAAATCTGTAGAACAAGCAAGTTTTGAATTCATACAATGGTTGTGAAAGGACTTTTTTCTACAGTGAGCTTTTCTGCTATTTTATAATAACTTCAATGGCCAGCTTCTAATAGAAATTAGTGGAAATCAGTTTTTTCTTTCTTCAAATAATGCAAGTGCTAACAGCTAGGGGCGGGTGTGGCGCAGTGGTCGGAGGCACCTTGCAACACACACGTGGAATCGATCCTCGAACCCAAGGCCCACCAAGCCTTCCATCCCTCCGGGGTTGGCAAATTGGTACCAGACTTGTTTGGGAGGATAGCAGCACTGCCTCGATACATCGGTGGGCAACCTCGAGTCATTGTATAGGCCAGATATGCATTCAATCACCTCCAGACGATGCTTAATGAACTCGAATGCATGGCGCATCCCTTCAGGGTTTGATCAAAGCTGAGAGCTTTATCCTTTTGTGCTTTAACAGCTAATCTTCCTGGGTAATCTAAGAGGTCAATGTTTTTTTGCGGCATTAAAGATGTTCATCACCTTATATGATAAGGTAAATGTGTAGATTTTTTTCTCAATCGACAACTACGATTTTTTGAAGCAAGTACCAGGACCGACTTTTTCTTCAACCTCGGTAATCCATCAGTAATTCGTTGTTTTTTTAATCAGCAAACATGAGATTGTTATTACAACACTTACTATTGTGTAATGGCTGACGTTTTGGCGTCATTGCACTCATCATAGCCTGGAAAGGTCAAATCGAAACGCAATCCACTCAGTCAAACAATTTCATAACCTCAGTAGATAAAACTTACGACATAAATTTGCATTAACATAATAAACGGCTTCTTTTAAGCAGTCACTGTTCTGTTGTCTGTAAGTCTTCAAGTTAATTGGTGGAGAGCAGCCGGATAGGGTATTACATGGGCGAGGAATGTGCCTTGCTCAGTTCAAAGAATTGGCCCGATGTTTGGTGCTAGATCACGTGTGATCACAAGGCACTTCTCCTTGCGGTTCATGTTCTGGATTTCTGGAGTTTATCGAAAACTCCTCAAGAGTTTTACGCTCTGTTATTTTGCATTCCTGCGCTGGGATAGTGACTTTTACTTTAAAATCTTCTCCGTTATGTTTCTGTATCCTATACGCGCCTAGTGGAATGTTTGGTTTAAGTCTAAGTTTACCGACTAGATGTTCTTTTATACGGATGCACAGTGTTCGACCCGTTCCGCCAGTATGTTCATATCTGCACATTTTACAAGAGGCGAGGTAAGCCGTCCATGAACTCATGCAATCACCTTCTGTACCGTTAAGGCATATTGTGCAATTTTGCGAGATATATAGATGATTGCTTTGTCATCGACTCTACACAAAGAGGTGATGGGCAAATTTTTTGTTGTTGAAAGAATAGTCAGAGTACATAAATTTCACTCCAGCGGAACAGAAAGAAAGTCAGTTTTCATTTCTGAACGTTAAAATTAAGCTATTCGAAGATTGCTACATCACAAAATGGTGTCGAAAGCCAAGAAACAAATATGTGCTGGTCCATTGCCTTTCCTCTCACTCCTCGCACACAAAAAGAATTCCTGTGAAGAACAAACTTCGAACACCCACCTCTCTGTGAATAGGAAGGGAGGAAAAGAAGGAATCCTTGAAATTGCCGCCGCAAATAGCCATTTCGAATGTCTAAGAAACTGCTCCTCGGGATAGGTATAGAGGAAAACTGAAACTCCAAATGATAACTCTAACGATAATTAGGTCCCGTTTATTATGTCTCTCGTTTACAATGAAATAAATGCACCTGTAAAATGTTGCTTGAGAGGGGCCAGTCTAGAGAAATTGATAACAATGATAGAAATGCCACAGGACACTATAGGATGCCAGTTTTTCGTAACCGCCTACATGACCGTCTACGCACAGCACGGAATTGCATAACATCCCCTAACGGTAGAGACCTCGATTGCATGCATTTGGGTACGGTGTACCTATTCTTTTGTAAAGCGTTTGTTGACGAATACATTATTAAAACATGTAGACACCTTAGTATCCGCATAAAAGGGGACCTTGTCGGTAAATTTAAAGTTGAAGCAATATACTCCACTAGGCAGGCAACGGGGCACAGGGTCACAACGGAAAAGATTTCGAAACAAAAGTCACTAATTTCACACAGGAATCCAAAATATCACCGCGTAAAACTCTTTTGCACAATATGGGCAACGTTTTAGGTAGGTTCCAAAAGTCCGAAATTGAACCACAAGCAAGGTTCTACTGTGATGACGCGTGACCTCGCGCTATACCCCGAGTTCAGTTTTTCACGTGAGCCAGGCACATTCCTCACCCATATAAGACACTGTGCGGCTGGTATCCACCAAATAACTGGAACACTTGAAGAGAGCTAAATAGTGAGTGGTTAAAAGGAAGTGTTTACTATGCAAACGAAAATTAACGTACTAAGTTTTGTTTACTGAGGTTATGAAATTATTTGGCTGAGTAGACTGCGCGCCAATTTGACCTTTCCACCCTCTGAAAAAAGGGAAGGCGCCGAAACGTCAGCCATTGCGTATTAATAAGTGCTGTAGTAACAACCTCATGTTTTCTCATTTAAAGAAAAACTGTACTACGCTTTTTGTTACTCGGTTGTATCTATTTGGCAGGTTTCGTCAAGATTTCTTTCAAAATTCATGTTTATGTAGACGTTGATTCCATTCCTCTCCGCTGGCTTTGGTCTGATCTTCGCCGGCCTTCTTCTTGAAGAAGCCGAGACATGGTCATTCTTCACAGGCTTACCTGATGCCATTACACTGGTGCCGACGTTACTCGGTATGAAAGGAAACCTTGAAATGACACTTGCATCTCGACTATCAACATTGGTTTGTTAAGATTCTATTGAATCAAACTATTTTTTCAATGTAGTAAACGTCGTTTTAGGCTAATCTTGGCTTTATGGAGGATAGAAAACATAAGTGGCAGGTAGCCTTATCGAACATGGCGTTGATGCAAACACAAGCTGTCGTCGTCTCATCGATAGCTGTCATTCCGCCTATAATCCTCGGAGAAAAACCGGTATAGTAGAAAAAATAAACATCGTTTGCGAAATAAGTAGTTTAGACGACGTTCATGTAAAGCGATAAATTCTAAAGGTAGTCTGACGGCAGTTATTACCTAAAGGTACTTGGGTACTTGGGCGTACCTAAAGGTAATACGGTAAGGATATATGCCGATCAAGTAAACTAGAACTAATTTCGGGTTATTTTTGGTAGGAAGTTGAAGTCTTACATATAGCAATGGTAAGGCAAGGAGATTCATTCGAACTTATATTTCCACATGTGTAGTAGCTGCGTCTATTTTATTTTTTAGTCTTATTTTATTTAGTCGTTATGCAGTTTTTGTTACTCTCTCTACACAACTGTGTGAAAGTGTGCCGAGATCATTGCAATAACTGATCGTTTCAAATCGAAGTGTAACCTGGTGCTTTTTGACTGTTTTCTTCCAAAACCTCACCAATCCGTAATATCAGCCTGCGCACAACTCTTTCTTATCACTGGTGACTTTGCTTGATGTAAAATGCTAAGGGACTGCAAATCGTCATTGCCTTCGTCTTGATGATCAAGTAAACCAATAGAAGGGTGGGCCAATATCACTGTAAAGACTTTAGTTAGATGTTTTGCTTTGTTGCTGGCACTCGACACTTTTGGTTTCTCCACAACTTGAATACTCAGATGGCCGGTTTTCAAGAGCAGTGTGGATACCAGCATATTTTTTGTTCGCTCCTTTCCCAGCAATCGACGTCTGTGGTGGTTGTTTGATTCGAGCGTGATGGTGTGTGCGCGTCTCATTCTGTGGTCTGGAAAACAACTTCACCTGCGAGTACAGCTGATTGTCTAGGGGACGCTTGCATCATCGCTTGCATTTTCGTGAATCTGTACTCTGTTCTTCCTCTTATGTCTACGGTCTATCTATATTTTGGTAGCAGTGTATATTCCCCTGGATCCAGAAAGTGGCATGGGTTTCAAAAATCTGGGCTGCGGTTTCCGGCCAAATATTGTGAAGCCCAGTTAAATTTCAAAATACGTTCAAGTACTGAGTGGGTGGCATGCAGATTTCTTGGTGTCGTTGAAGTATCAGCTCATGTCTTTGTTGCATGTCAGAGCGCTGGATGAAGCATTAAGCTTATTACGCAAGGGCAGTTTCGGGTCCATTAGTTCGCCGGTGGCTTCTTCGAGAGGCGCACATGCGGCCACTGCTGCTCTCTATCTTCTAGTTCCTCCATGCTGTTCTCCATGTTCACCGAAAGTTCGCTGAACGCACAAGGTCCACTTAATGTGGTCTCTGCGATCACAGAGCCATCCAGTTTGATCTGTTTATCTTAACACCATGGGTTTATCATGAACTGGGTCGTCATTTGAGTTAAGCGTCGTCAGATCGCTTTTCCTGCTTTGTTGAGCTCATTGGCCACCGTGTCTGTCTCGTTGCTACCTCTTGAAAAGAGAACGATCTCGTCATTGAAACGAAGATTTGATAAAGGTCTTCTTCCATCAATGCGTATGTCCTTCCCGTTCTATTCGAGTCATTTAATTATCCACTTCAATGAGAGAACTATGACAAAATGATGCCACCTTGATGAATTTTTCTACGAGGAAGCTTAAAAGTCCGTGGAAAAGCCATAGTTTTTTGGTCCAATTCGATAGCAATCAGAATTCTTACATAGGATGGGTCCAGTTGTTGGTCGACGAGCCCTAATAGGATTGCCTTCGTTTCGACGCTGTCAAATGGTTTCCCATTGTTGAGAGGAATCAGGAGAAGAAGCAGGTGATATTTGCGACAAAATTCTATGAACCCGTGCACTATTTGGATTTGGTTCTTGCAGCAAAATGCCTGTAGAAATCCTGCTTGCTCAGCGGATTGTGCCACATCCATTGTTCTTTATATGCGCGACACGCTTCGTGAGCAGCTTGTAGATCCCACTCAGAAAGCGCACTAGGCGATGTTTACGAAGACCCCTTTGGTCAAACTTCTCGGGCAAGTCGTCCGTGCACGACATCCTTCACTGATGTGAAATTTTTTCCTTTTGAAGGTTGGATGTCATATAGCTTGCGAGAATTAGATGCAAATTTCGATTACCAGCTCTAAAGAAATCGGCCGCGATATTATCGGGTCCTGGAGCTATCCCTTCCTTCATGCTTCCTATCGAAACTCGAGTTTCAAACGGAGGTATTCCGGATGGTTTTTCTCTCGAGTAGGAAATTTAGGGTCCGGGTGGGGGTTGACAAACGGAAGAGGTTGATCTAGAACCTTCCGCCTATCAATTCCATATCATGGTGAAGGTTGCAGTCGTCCCATTTTCGATCATCAAGGTCAACAGCGGAACACATTCTGCTCGCACAAGTCTAACACAATATTTATGCTCAATGGAAACTCCATTTTATAATTTAACTTCAAAATTGGGTGATCAAGCCTATGCATGGAAAAATTGTCGGTACTAAGCACAACTGCTAAATTCAGAAAGGATGGATAAAAAGTAGTGGTGAATGCCATGCAATATATAGAAGAAGAACGAACTTAGGAAGGCCACCAGAGAATGGGCAGTATGGACTCGAGAGACTGAAGTGCAGACCCCTTATGTACTGCCAAGAAAGGGCCGATATATGGCTGTGTGAAGAAATTGCTCCTCATGTTACAGCAGTAGTTATGCATATTGTCGTAGAGATTTTATCCTTTATCCTCTATTTTATCCTCCGCCTTATATCCTATTTTATCTTTTTATCCATGTAATGAAAGCGGTACCATTCGTGATCTATTAGGATGTCCAGGAATAATTGAGCGTTTTTAACTACATTATTTAAAGTGTCATAACTTGCTTCAAACAAAACATTATTAATCAAACTAAAAATTATTTGGATTTGCATATTTTTGCCAACGGGAAATAAATTTATTTATTCCAGTTGCTTAATTTCTGGAGTTCTGGAAGCGATGAATTCGTTGAAGGAATTTTTTCGCGCCATCGTGGTTGGTGAAGCATTTCTCGTGCAGGTAGTTGTTAAAGTGCTTGAGGAAGTGATAGTCGGTAGGCGAGGGCTCTGGGGAATATGGCGGATGAGGCAAAGCTACGTAGCCTAGTTTGTTCAACTTCGGCAGTGCTGGTTTCGCAACGTGAGGCCGGGCGCTGTCGTGAAGAAGAATTGATCCTTTTCTACTGACTAATGCTGGCCGTTGTTGTTGGAGTTTACGGTACATTTCGTCGATTTGTTGGCAATGCTTCTCTGCTGTTATGGTTTCGCCGAGATTCAAAAAGCTGTGATCAGTTCAATGAGCTTAGCTACAGACCACCAAAACAGTCACCATAACTCTTTTGATGCAATTTTGGATTTGGGAAAGCTGCAGAGTTGAGCTGAACGTCGCCGGTTGTCGTCAGAATCCACTTTTTGTCACACGTCACAAGTCAATCAGGAAAAGGGTCGGTTTTGCTGCGAAAAATAAGAGCAGACGAAACTTCAAAGCGGCGACTTTTTTTTGACTATCGCTTAATTCGTACGTCACCCATTTGTCGAGTTTTTTTCTATCCGATTTAAGTGAGCGGGAATTGTTCATGGGCTTACGCCAAGCTGTTCTTCGAGCTCTCGAACAGTTGTTCGGGTGTTTGCTTCTACTTCACTACCTTCAACTCGTCGTCGTCAAGTTCACTGGGACGTCCGCGGCCTTCCTTATCTTCGAGGTCGAAATCACCAGATCGGCATTTCTGGAACCATGTTCACATTGTTGATTCTCCAACACTACCTTCAACTCAAACCTCATTAATGTTTCGAGCTGTCTCTGCTGCACTACGACCGAGTTTGAACCCGTAAAAGAAAATTTGGCAAAAATTCGTTTTTGACATCTAAAATTGCGAAACTCAGAATTGGTAAAAATTTAACTTTTGACAAGATGTAAAGACATCATTGGAAAGAGTGTAAAATCAGCTTTGTAATGACAATATAATATTGAAAAGTACAGAGAATGCTTTATTGGTAAAAAAAAAAATACATTAAAACAATAAATATTTTGGAACGCTCATTCATTTGTGAACAGCCTGCTAGTATAACCCTGTTTGACATACCCGAATAAAAAAAGGATAACATTAACTCTCTGGCCAAATGGCTTTGTAACAACATAAGAGAAGAAAATGTGAAACAAAACACAGTGGAGGAAATGTATAAATATATGAAGAGGTGGACCTATTAACTATGCGATTCTTTCCGTCAACATTTGTTGTTGTTTCTAGTTTATGATTCGTGATTCGTTCTGCCTTTTATTATCCTCTGTCGCTACCGCTTCACTTGCATCGTTGATGTTGGGACTACTTATGATTGCGGTGGTTATTGTGGCGAAGAAATGGAAGGTAATCATTCTACACGATGCTATTTCAGAGAAAACCACTCTCTTTAGCAATATTATGCAATCGTTTAGGTGAATCCGGACAATATTGCCACTCCTGTGGCATCTTCTCTTGGTGATGTCACTACGCTTTTGATCCTGGTATTTTTTGAAAAGTGGAACCGAACCGATTTTTTAATATTTTCTTCTTTAGGAGTAATTTAGTAGAGTCACCGTACTACGCTTACAAACTTATTCACTTATTACAGCTTGGAGTTGGCACTTCATTACTGAGAATCTCAGAACGACACCATTGGATTCCGATCGTTTTTCTAGTTTTCTTCTACACTGTTGCTATTATTAGCGCCTATAGAGCAGCTGAAGATCAGTTTACGATAGAGGTAAGTTACGATGGACAAAATTCTGCTGTAGGTATACAGTAGACTGGTGTAGATATATGGCAGGCTAGTGAACAGAACAAATATGCCCAGGTACTCAAGCATGGTTGGTGGGCAGTACTGGCTGCGATGACAATCACAACAATCAGTGGCTTTGTACTGAAGACGTCAATGCGTAAATATCCACCGATTGCGGCTTTTCAACCGCTGATTAACGGTATGTTACAAAGTTCAACTGAACTCAGCCGACGTTATTATTCGCATTGATGTGAAATCACTGTTGTGCCATGGAATTAAGAAAGTTTTCGTTAACAGATGTAGTGTCTTAATATCGTCGAAATTTTAACTGCACCAAAAATTGTTATCAAGTGCATGAAAGAAAGAACAGTACTTCAAGCAGGAAACATTCTTACTAAGTTACTAATTTGGGCGGCTTAGAAGAGACTTGCTTAGTTTGTTGCCATCTACTATATTGTTGAAGCACTGGCATTTTACCAGAGACCAGTGCTTCTAGTACTCCGAAAGAGTCTACTGCTGGCATTGAACGATACAGTAAAGTAGTTAACCCAAAGTGGTGTGGTATTATGAATAGTTTCACTGTAATTTAGGCATAAAGGAGGAGATAGCACAGTAGAAATGATGTCGGCCATCAAGAGCACGGTGCCGACCCGAGCCCACCGAAACCCTCACCTTCTCAGAGTCGGTGAATAGCCACCGTACTTGTTCCAAGAAAAAATCACCCTCTGCAGTCCAGTTGGGAACGCTCCAGCCCGGCTACCTCAGGACTCCAGGGAGAATCGACTCGGCCAGCATTCTACGAAAGCCGAAGCTACACGTAAAAGTTGGAAGACCTTCGTAGATGATGGATGTGACGAAACGAATTGGATGTGAGAAGTGATGGGATCCGCACAGTAGATGTGAAGACGGGTCGCATGAAAGTAAAAATTGGACACATAATGCGTGCTCGTCGCTGGTTCGATCCCACCTCGGCCCACCTAAGCTAACGATCCCTCCGAGGTTGGAAAATTAATGCCAGATCACTCTTACAGAATTCCTCTATGATCCATAAAAACGCGCTACTGCTTCTGCTGGGAACGTTATAGTGGAGTAGTAGAGCCATCTCAAAATTCCGATGAGAATCATTTTGACCAACATTCAACGATATTCATTGGGAAGGAAGAGTCCCTAGCTGGGAGCAGAACCCACACGCAAGTGCGAAGAACATCGTGGATGATGAATGCGAGAAAACGGATAGAACGAAGCAAACCTCTGAGTCTCAAAAAATTTTATGAATTTGCATAAATAAGTATATAAATAACTATCACTCTTGTTGAGTAATTCAATTACCAATCAAATACTGGCATTGGAGCGGCTCAATTTAGGCCTAGTTCGATCGTAGATTCTCTGATTAGAGTCATGTCAAAGTATGAAAAAAATATGCCTAAGTATAAGAAAATCTAGGGGGGTGTTGAAAGAAATTCTAGGAAGAATGTGATCTGATGGGCCAGTTTCACTTTTCCATACAACAAATAAAAGTTTAACTAACGTCAATGATATTGAGATATTTGGCAGATATGGCAGAACTAGCTGAGAGACAGGAGAAGCGAAGGACCTGCATGGTGTGGTGGTGAGCGCTTTAGCCCTTGAAAGGTTAATAGCGCGTTCCTTCCCCACCGCAGACACCTGCGGTCCGGAGTTTTGCAAACATCTCAGCATCACTGTGGTTATTTCACAAATAATACCCTGCCGTGAAAACTTGTAAAAGGTAGTAAATAAAAATTTAACGTAGTTAAACTAACGTTTCCACAACGGAATTTTACTTTCTGAACATTACGAAGAGCTGGTAAGATCTACAGTGTTTTGCGGAAGGCTGGGTATCCTAAGATTCATTAATTGTGCACAGCGTGCTTGAAAATCTTTATGCTACTTAATCCCAAATCTCCTTTTCAAATTCGCTTGGGATCGATTTCCAATAGAATCGAATCGGCCATACTTCGATTATTTCAGCCTCCTTATTTTCTCAGGTGTTGGTGGCAATTTGGTCGCTGTACAGGCGAGTCGCATAAGTACCGGCCTGCATCGAGACCGAAAAAATAAAGCGAGAGATCGGGAAAATTTATGGATTTATATGAGCCCGTGGCATGCTTTTATTACCACCCGTAAGTTATACAATTTTTGTTAAATTTTCACTATTATGATAACGAGTTTTAATTGTGTAAGGAGAATTTAAGGTCGCTTGTAGCGCAGTGGTTAGAGGCTTCCAGTATGCACATGGACATCGTTTCAATCCTAAGCTTAGGCAAATATAACTTTCTGCAGTTACGTAGCAAAGCAGTCACTTGGGATAAAAAGTATTTCCACGCACAAAAGTGTAAAAATAAGAATACGAGGAATAGTTGAGGCATTGGTAAGCTCCAGAAAGTCATCATACAAGCCAAATATATGTCACTCACCTTTACGATTCCTTGGAAGTAAAGGACTTGTTAGAAAAGAAAACAAAAGAGGTATTGTCATCTTCAAGAAGTCTGAATTTTTCACTGTAGAATCCGAAAACTTGTGCATTGTTGGCAGATATCTGTGAATCTAATTGTTTAGTTCCGATTACTAGAGTTCATTGTGGAGTCAGCTTGTTAAATCATCCTTAATCACCTGGCGACTCACCAAAAACTGGTTCACATTCTAGAGCAACTCTGTTCACACTACGGCAAACCTCCATCGAATCCAAAAGGCTGGTTGCTGGATGTGCTAAAGAGCTCCAAAAATTCAATCATGGTTATTTCGAGATTCAAGGGAGATAAACTGATTTCTTCGGTTAACGTTTCAGCATCTTCATCTTCATCAGAGCCGATGATTCGAGTCGATGGTTCACAGTTGTTCGGATTCTCGATGTGGCGTCTTCATTGTCTTACCGAGACGGATCTTCTTCATTGGAACACAGCAGAAATGAGGCATTCTTGCTCGGCATTGCTCTTTTATACAGGGCTGTTGTTGTTGATATAACTATCCTTTGATAACAATTTGTTTTACAACGGATAATCCACCCTGCCCTCCTAACGGTTTATCGCTTCATCGTGGCTCGAAGATTTCCTTGGGTGTGCAATATACAGCAGAGGGATCGATTCACCCGACAAGGCCTCCCAAACGGAGAAGGAGTCTGGTGTTTCCAATGGGAAACGTAACTAAGAGTAAACCACTACCAGTATCCACCGCCGTCCCGGTATCAAACCAGTCGTATGGTGGCAAATCTCCCCGTGATCCACAAGGGCGGCGACTGCCCGAGGTGGTGATGACCTGGGCCAGACTTTGGCCAGCATGACCTCGGGACTCCAGAGAACCACAATAGCTAAACTTGCAAAGCTCCGGAAACGTAGAAATTGTACTGCGGCCCCACACAACCAGTGAAGGCGGGCCATCCAAGTATCCAAGTAAGGAAATCCACTCTGCAACAATTGACATTCTTGAGGTGTTCCGCTTAAAAAAGTCCGTCTGGGTTTAACAACTAAGTTGTCGCATCGAGAGAACAAACAGCTGTGGACCATCGACTCGGATCATCGGCTTTGATGAAGACGAAGACGTTCAGATGCTAACTGAATATAGCCGAATAAATCAATTTATCAACCTTGTGTAAGTTAAACAATTTAAACATATGTTGTTTATTTTGTTATCAAGGTTAAATGACGGCCGGTTTCAAAGTTATTCAAGGAAGAATTACAAGTTCGTCGAGAGCTAAAGATGTCAACCAGAAGAAATTATGACACAACTTCAAGTGGCAACTGAGTCCGCACACGAACGCAACGGCAGTTGCGAGATAACGGAACGAATGGTAAAGATGTTAATCCGAATCGATATGTGAGAACGTGACATCCAACTGTTAAAGTATCAAAGTAAAACCACACTGGTGCTGAGATGTTTGCTAAACTCCGGACCACAAGTGTCTGCTGTGAGGAACGAACGCTCTATTACCCTTTCCGGGGGCTAAGGTCTCTCATCTAGTTTTCTATTGATCACTGCCATCAGCAATTACCCGTCAACGGGATTGATCTGTGAAGCCAAAATCGGCAACGAACCCAGTTAGGCTGAGACTGTAGTCGAAATCACAACGTTATCTTTTTAGAGCTTAACTAGCTGAGTAACAGGCGAAACGAAGGACCCGCATGGTTTGGTGGTGAACGCGTTAGCCACCTAAAGGATAATAGCGCGTTCGTTGACACCTGCAGTCAGGAGTTTTGCAAATATCTCAGAAACATTGTGGTTGTATCACATACATTGCCCAGCCTTGAAAAATAGCAATAGGCAGTAAATAAAAAAGTTAACATGTCTAAATAAAGCTGGTTGTGAGCTAGGATATGCTTGTTCGAAGTTGACAGATGCAATTTTTCTATTAAATTTCAGTCGATTTCTATTCATCCCACTCATTATGTCCTTCTCCACACCTGGTGCTAACTTCGATGCTTCGACGGCCCGCCTTCTAGAGTTTTGCGGACCTCAGCATATTTTCTTCGCGTTTCTTTGCCTCTCGGTTGTCGTTCATGGCGGTGGTTTCACTCGAGCATAGTGGCGGGTTCGGGTCTGGCATCGTGATCTGTAAAACAACTCCTGCTGCTAGTACAACTGTTTGACCTTAGTTACAAAAACGTACGCCCATCAAGTAGGTTTAGCATTCATGTGAAGTCCACTCTATAGTTCTTTTTGTCCACTTTTCACTTGTTCTTTATTTGACAGGCCCATCTATGCTTCGCTGTTGATGTTTATTTTTCTAGATTCCGAAGATGGAATAGGTTTCGAAGATCTGAGCTGCGCATTCCAGCTATTTTCCATGTTCACTGTGGGTTTGCCGGACAGCCTTGATACACGTTTAATGTGGTCTCTGCAATCAGAGAACCATCTAGTTTGATCTGTTCACCTTTTCATTATCGGTTTTTTTCATAAACTCGATCTTCTTCCGACGTACTCGTAGTACGGTAATTTTCCGGCTTCGTTGAGCCCATTTAGCATTGTAGATGTCGTCCTTCGTTCTGTCTTCCTACTGGTTAATTGTCTTCCTGTCTTCTCTCCACACATGGTTTAATATCAATTCATATCAGGACTTTATTTAAAACCGTGGTATTTTTTTTTACATTACAGATGCAGATTCTATTGCGGCGCGTATTCTTATGGCTATGTCAATTCCCGGTAATTTCATATTCATCAGTACGATTTTCATGTTCGGTTGTGGATTTACGAACACCATTCCATTCACCTTCACGTACGTGTTGGTATCCCTTACCCAGGTGGTTTACTTGTTATTTTTATCACCGCCAAGTCATGATGGAAAAAAATGCCGAGAGTTTACAGGTCATTATACTGCTCTATCTTTGTCAACTACTGGTTCGAGCGATGTGGAAGTTGCGAATCGATCCGGACAGCTCGGCTATACCAATATTGACTGCCACAGGTGACCTTCTTGGAAGCATAATGCTCATTGGCTGCTTCTGGGTATCTGCTGACTTTTACGGAATACACTTTGCAAATGAGCATTTTGTTGAGAGGCGGCTTCAAATCCATTCATCTGTATCACCCATGGTCTCAGTAGTCAACGAGTGATCCAACCGAGCGCTAGTTATGAAGTCGTCACTTCTCAAAACTGTGTAACTAGGTTTCGCTTATCTGAACCATTGACTTACATGAAAAAACTCGTATTTTCGAAGGGCTTAAGTGGATGCAGGCCTTGAATGTAGGTCTGCCGAAGTAAGCGTGAGGCTTATTCGTTGAACATGTTTCAAAGTGCTTAGTATAGAACGTCCTTTCCTTTAATTGTGGAATTTCAGCGAATTCAGTTTTTATACACGGTACAAAATCCACTTAATTTAACATGAATATGGTAACATGTATGACGAAAGGTATAATTCTATCCAACCTAACAGAAATGTGATGCCCGCCCATCCAACTAACTCACCTTAAGCAAATGCATGGATGCTTTTGACACGCGTTCAACCTATATCATCTATCAATGAGTTGCTCCAGTTTTCTTATAGCTTAACCACTTCATGATTTTTTACATCAATGAGAACATCGATTTGAATCAACAATAATCATTTCTGTTGTGTTGTATATGAATCTCTTGAAATTGTTCTATGAATTCTTTGTGCTCGAGTGAATAACCTCGAAAACCTAGTGGACCATTTGGTGAGACAATATCACAAAAGTATGAGTTAAAAATTAGGATCAGTCCCTCCGTTCATCTTCCACCGTTTTTTGAAAAATATATCAGAACATCTGAAGTGAAAGGAATAACAATCATAAGAACCATACGAAGTAATTTCGTGCTCAATCTGCATCATATGAACAATCGAAAGGTCGACAATCGGGGTTGCCTCTAACGGTGTTCTTTCACATTACAGTTTTTGCTTACAGAATGTCGTGCAGCACTTCTTGCATTGCTTTCATTAATCGGATTTGTGCTCAGATTTTTCGGTAGAGGTTCAAGGATAGGTCATTTTTCTCTCCTCATTAGCATTCTAAATACTGATCAGGCGAGATTTTCTATGGAATCCTAAGATAGCCCTTATATAGGGTTCTCAGCTCTTCAGCACAGAGTTGCCGACCTTTATGAATGGGAGAATGATAAGTTGCCTTGCAATTCTGATTAATTCAGCATTGAAGGGAATCCTGCAATTAGTCAACTATCTATACGACGACTGTGTAACAGGCTGATTCTAATTAAAATCCGAATTGCTCACTGGTGAACAACCCAGTTATCCGACATAAACGTACATGTTGGGGGAGACCACCAACTGTCTCCATGCATCTAATCGTAAGCGTTTCTCTTAGACAGCGTGAAAGATTCCATATGCATGTAATTGTAAGCCTTATAACAAACGTACAAATACAAGCACAGAAGCGCGCTCAATATCCCTTCGCGCCCACGGATGGTAAACTACAAATCAAGCAAATACGGAAGAAGCAGTGAGTCCATCCGTTGTATCTGTCCACATCTGAGTGCAAAAACAAGGTACCTTCGCTTTTGGTTGGTGATCAACACTTGTTAGACCACTTGTGGACACAACCGTGGATCAACCTCATTTGCTGTTGAAAATACGATTTTATTTGCTACCTTTTATATACAAAAATATTACATTTGAGAGGAAGGTTCTCTATTCATCGCAATCGTAGTCACAGTGAACAAATGCTCGTTCAACAAAGTCAAGCTTTAAAAGCTTCTCTTGCAGCGAATGGGAAATGTCGTGGGTAATCTGTAAAGTTTCTTCCGGTAATATCAATATAACTGTGTATTTCAAGGCAGTCTACATTATAAACCGAACCTTTAAAGAAAGGCTCTCATCCATCACAATATGTAATTCAACGGTCGCTTGGACACCAGTATGATAAACCATAGCATGGTGAATAGAACTGAAAATACGACAGTAATGTAGATCACGTGATAAATGTGCAAGGTTTGGAGTACACACCATTGGAATGATCGTCAGGCTTATCAGATTAGTTCTTCTTGATGAGATAAAAGTACCTATTTAAAAGAATTGAATTGTGCCTGCTTTCAGCCTTCTTGTCTGTTTTCGCAAATTCAAGCCGTTCTTGCTTTACTTTCGGTTTGCTAGATGATAATCTGCTGACAGGGTTATCACATCACTCACCGTATTCGATTGTCGTGTTCTACGGCAATTTTCAAAACTCGAATAAGTCGATCTCTTTCAGCTCGAACACCAACTAGAATCGGCACATGTTCTAATGAGTAGTGAAACCATGACACAGCAATTAGACCGCTGAAACTTCTCACTTAGTATCGAGAAGGTTTCTATAGGAAATAAGTGGTAAAGCTCTCGATGTTGATCAATTCCTCATGGGTGCGCCATGCATTCAACTTCATTAAGCATCGTTAGAGGTGACTGAATGCATATTAGGCCTATGCGATGACTCTAGGTGGCCCATCTGTATGTTGAGCCCCTCAGACAGATGTGGAACCAATTTGCCGATCCAGCAGGGATGGAACGCTTGTGTGTGTGAGGAATCTGATCGAACCTATGTGCAATGCAGGGTACCTCAAACTACTGCGCTGCACGCGCCCTTTTTCAACGATCTTTATACTGTTAATGAAATCAACAATGAAGAAAGGAGAAGAGGTTGAGCGGTAGTGGTAAGAGCGTGCCCCGAGATGCAAACGGTCGTCGATTCGACCCGCCCCGAGTTAACCAAGTCCTACACTACTCGGCTAAAAAATCGGTAATTCTCTGGAAGGGTAAAAGCACTGTCTTGATGCATCGGTGAAATCTTGGAAGCTATAAATTAGATCAAATATGCACTAAGTCATCACTGCAGTGCTTGTACACTATGTATGCATCTTTGGGCATCCATGATACTACTATACAATGAAAGGCACTGTGGAAAAAACGATTATGAATGCTTCTGCTGAAGGTAGAATGCATTCAGTATGGTTACACTATGTGTAGAGAGTTGAAAAAATATGCAGAGCTTTGGAAGTTTTATCACCTAAGAAGACCGTAATTTTACTGGATTCAAAAAAAAATAGAAAACTGGATGAATTCTTCCTGGGATGTACTGCAACCTGATAAAAGAGCAGTCATTATAATTTCCACAAAATACCAGATTTTCGAATATAATCAACAAGTCCAGTCGAATTTTTGGGCGGTAAACCTTTAGGTAATACCATTCTCAGACTGGTTGGTTGGCTAATCAAAGAGACCATTTCAATCGCAGAATCACTGCCGTGCCAAAGGAAACCCAGTCATAGGGTGACATGTGTTCTTCCGATCTAGAGGGATCGCCGACTGTCTGTGGTGAAACCGTGAGGACGCCCTATCACAGTGATCCTCGTATTTCAGGATAAAGCAGCTTGAACGGCATTCAAAATGTCAATGAGCATACGAGATAACAGTTCGTTAAGTGGCCGTCAAACCAGGTTGGAACCCGACGACATTTATAGAGACCGTTGCAAGGAAATAAATTAGGCTGTGGTAATACCCATTTAATTACCTAGGCATCTGTGTTGGCAAATGAAGGTAAATGAGGTTGATAAAGTGATGTCATGGTTACGTTACGGTTATTCCATAAGACTGATAAACACTTTCACAAACATTTCAAAATGGTAGCGTTTCCTTCCAGAGGTCCAAGCCTTAAGAACGACTCCATCTTTCGTGGCAGTTAGTCAGCGGCTTTTCTCATCAGGATCGCTAAACTACCGGTGTTCACGTAATTAGATCACAGAACCAATTCTGTGCCACAGCGCCTCAAAGTGACGAAAAGTTTTCTTGGTTATGGCATTGCAATGTACGGACTGGACCGTTTAGTTGGAATCTTGGCTAAGTTTAAAGGAACGCCTGGTTTTTCAGCACCAGTGAAGGAACGTACTCACAATTCTGCAAATAAACTCCGATTCACAAAAAGTAGCGACTGTCGGTGATAACTGTTTACAGATATCTTTGACGGATTTCTCAAGAAATGTGACAGAAAGCTTCAAGGAAAATAAAGAAACAGTAGGAGCTTTACACATTTACTACTTACGTCGGTGACATTAATCACTGAGATATAATAATCTCTAGTTGCTACTGATGTCTTTGTTACTGAACCGTAAAAAACCATTTAGAAGACGAAAATCGTTCCATGATTTGCACCTACAGTATCAGAACGGTTTCCTAGAAAATCGGGTTTTCTTAAAGAAACCCAAATATCGTCCTCGTATAATACAAGAGCTCTTTCCGACTGCAATCGCTTTGATTTCATAAAAAGTAGCGACTGTCGGTAATAACTGCTTACAGTTATCGCAGATGGAGTACGAAAAGACTGGTCTTCTACCGATATCCTGCCATTTCCGTAGAAAGGGAGGTCCGGCACGGTAACAACGCCTCGTAAAATCTGTTCATACACATTGCAGTGTGTAATGAAGTCGAACGAGGAAAGGTATATGCATGTACCAAGTTTCTATATGGGATTTTGGCCAGATATCGTCACCTTTTTGAGAAGTAGCAGAGAAGCCAAAGCGCTACTCATACAACTGGTACCCACGATATCCACTTGAACTGTGCAGGATAACCTGCAAGACGAACAAAACCACATATGTTTCCAGCTGGAAATGAATTCTAGACCACGAAATGAAATTATTTATAGATCGCAAGTTTCAACCGCGTTCGGAACAAACCACGGCTTTGAAGATCATTAGTCCTGAAGGACGAAATGAGTGAAAAATAAATTGGTGAAGCTCGTGAGACGTACACACGGATCACAAAGTATTCTAAAATTCAAGTATGAACTGAAAGATATGCCTATGAAATGAATTTAAGGTTAGAGATTGAAAACCTGGATTGCTTTCCGGCCAATCTAGTGCTAACCCGTTACAAATTCTTCAACTGCAAATCAACTGATTGAGAAATTCCGTTACAAAGGACATTGTTCTTTGGACTTGAGAGCAGTGGAGCAATAAAATTTGCTCACCAGACAATAATCGCTCCAACAGGATCCGCATATGGCCAAAAAATATCGCCGACTGTTGCCGCAATGATGGCGATTAGTGACGTAGCGATATCGTTCCTCATATCCATGGCAATCACCTAAATACACCGAAAATTGCATTAATCATAGCATGAGGCAAAAGAATAAAAAGATAATGCTGCTGATCAATCTCCGAGGAATGCTCCATGCATTCGACCTCATCAAACGTCGTAGAGATGTTCAAATGGATATCTTGGATCGAGGAAGGCTTAATAAGCCTGGGGAACGAGATGGAAATTGCGATCGACCCAGTGTGTATTGCAAGGCACCTCTAACCACTGAACTATATGCGCACTTAGAAGACCACGTAATGATGAGAAACATGAACAGATTTCCTAGTATCGATAATAAAGACGTTTTGTTGCCTGTATTAATCAATAATCCGCCTTGGTATTGCAGCGTTCGAATGCATGAAACGAACTTTTTTCCATCACCTGTATCACCTGTGGTCCCACTGATCATCGAGTGGCTCGAGCGGGCGCCAGTAAATCCTCAATTTTTCCCTGTCACGTGCAAGAGTAGCCCAGTGGGTTCTGCTCACTCTAGGGACTCGTTGACCATCAAATCTTTCTTCTAAACTCTTCATGAAGAACTCTGACCATCGGATCGGTGGTCTTCCTGCGGTACGTTTGACATCCTGAGGAATCCAGCCACTAACGTCCATCGGTTGTCATTTATACGCATTACGTGTCCGACCCACCTTACCTTCGACTCTTTGGCGTACAGAACAGCATTTTCCATTTTTGATCGTTGACGCAGCTCGGAGCTCCCTTACCTGTTTGAGAAGTGATACTCCTAGCATCTCTACTCACGTAAAAGCTGACGTTTCGGCTGATTTCACCTTCCTCAGAACCTGGAAAGGTCACGTTGACAGCAACCTCTTCGGCCAAACACCTTCATAACTAAACAGAGAAAGCGCCAAACCAAGAAGGGCGGGTCTAGAAAATTCGGTAAGCGTAGTTGAAATGCGACCGAGTAATCTTAGGCGCCAACTAGTTCGTAACCGACTGAATGACCGTCTATGTGCAACGCAAAATTGCATAATTTGCCTCGATGGTAAAGACAGTGGTTGCATGAGCTCGGGTATAGTTTATCTGACCTCCTGTAAGGCGTGCGGAGACGAATACATTGGCGAAACGGGCAGACCCCTCTGTGTCCGCATAAAAGAACACCTAGCCGGAAAACATAAACCAAATGCCCCGCTAGGCACGCATAGGACCTAGAGTCATAACAGGGAGGACTTTGAAGTACGTGTCACGATCCTCGCGCAGAAATCAAGAACACAAGCGCGCAAAACTCTCGAGGCGTTCTGGATTAATTCCAGAAATCCGAAAATGAACCGCAGAGAAGAACGCCTCATTATCACGCGTGATATAGGGCAGTATATAAACCTGGTATTCTGATGGGAGGGGCACATTACGCTTCCATGTGAATTCTGTGCGGTTGGTCTCCACATGACATACTCAGTGGAAGACTCATAGAAAGCGGTGAGTGTGCGGAGCTGTGTTCAATGTGATTGAAATCTTGGTTTAGCGCTTTCTCTGTTTGGTTATGGTGTTTGGCCGAATAGGTTGCTTTCAACGTGACCCTTCCAGGCTCTAAGGAAGGCGAAATCCGCCGAAACGTCAGCTTTTACGTGAGTGGGGAAGTGGAATAGCACCTCGTGTTTGCTGAGCAGAAGTGGAAAGAATTGCTCAATCAATGCCGAGGTTAACAAAAAGTCGGACGTGGGAGTCACTCCTAGCATCGTCCTTCGACTGCGCGTTCGATAACGCTGAGTGATCTTTCATCCCGTTTACGCAGCGAACAAGTGTCTGACGCATGCGTTAGAGCAAGAAGTACCGCTGAGTCGAAAAGGTGGGCATGGAGTCGGGCGTTCTTTGTCCTCTTCACTTACATCCTCGTTGCTCCTGAACGCTCCCCAAGCCGCTCGTTTCCTTCTGCTCAGTTCTGGAGCTAAGTCGTTCATCACATTGATTTTCCGACCTAGGTAGACATAACTAGAGCTTTCGGAGATACTCGTTTCGTTGAACGTGAATGGAGCATACGAAATCAATCCGTTCCTCATGAACACTTTTTTGACATTTAGTCGAACACCAATCTTTCCACATGCTCTACCAAAGTCGGCAAGCATACATTCCGCTTGGCTAATGTTTGGTGTTATAAAGTAGATGTCGTCAGCAAAGCGAAGATGAAGTTAATGCCGATCATCGATTTTCACTCCCATATTATCCCATTCCAGTGTTCTCACGACGTTCTGTAGGGTGGCGTAAATAATTTTGGCGAGGTGGAATCGCCTTGCCTAATCCCTCTTTTGAATCGTATCGTTGTAGAATGGTGATGTCTTGGTTGTGAATTATTTGTGCAGCTCACGAAGAATCCTTATGTACTGAGTAGGGACTCCTCGACTATCAAGGGCTTCCATGACTGCTTCTATCTCAACTGAATTAAAGGCCTTCTGTAAATCGATGAAAGTGAGACAGAGCGAGCTTTTGCACTCTCGTGATACTTCAATGAGCTTTGTTATCGTGTGGATGTGGTCCATCGTACTAAATCATTTTCGAAACCCTGCTTGCTCACGTGGCTGTCCTACATCCAGTGTTCTGTCAATCCTATTTAGGATGACTCGAGTTAAAAGTTTGTGGACGACAGACAGTAGATTGGGCGATAGTTGCCGACATCGCGTAGGTCACCCTTCTTGAACAATAACACGGTCTTGCTGGCCTTCCACTGAGTAGGGACCTTGCATTCAGACAGGTAATGCGTGAAGAGCCGAGCCAGTGTGCTTACGAGGACTGGCGGAAGGTTCTACAGGTGTTCAGGTCCTATCCTGTCCGGACCTGGCGCTGTTCGATTTTCCACCGACCGAATGGCATGCCGGATTTCGGAAGGGAGAACCGGTGGTACAACGTATCTATCCTCCTTTATTTCATATGGCGGAAGATGGACGTGGCTATCCAAGAGATTTGAGTGCCATTCGTGAATGATTTTTCCATTGCCTGGACGCTGTAACTGTTTCGTTTGGGCTCAGAGTGCAATCATCGTGGTCTTGTAATTGGCGAAGCTTCGGTGGGCTTTGCGAGTACTTTTCCCAGCCTCGGCAGCTTCAAGCATTATTGCTGCTCTTCGTTCTTTAAAATCTTCTTTTATCGCCTGTCTACATTG